CGACATTCATGTAATTATTTTCAAAATCATGCATGTAAAAATTTATTTTCTTATCAACAACAAACATATTCAAATCGTAAGTTAATATTTAACAAACAAAAATAACAAAAAACAATTAAATTTTATTTTCTAGTACAAATTTTACAAAATATACCAACATGTGAAAATTTACCACCGACAAGTGATGAATCATCATGTATTAATTTCGATCAAATTATATCAAATCGTCAAAATAGTAAGATTTGAACTCAGAATTCTAAAGGGATGGGCGAAATGAAAATTCGAGGTGGGCGCTTTATCTAAGTCTCGCGTTTTGGATGGGCGCCGCCCACTCAGCCCACCCGCTAGATAAAACATAGTGTATGTCCGAAAAAGATGATTTTGTCTTTATTTAATATTTCGACCAAACCTGGCAATCATTTAAATAAAATAAAAGTTCTTTTTAATGATATTAATGGTGCATATATATAATTATTATGTCTTGATAGATTGTAGAGATGTTAATATACGACATTGAATAAGAACACATCTGTTCAATTTAATTATATAGTAGATTTTAAACGTAAAGAAACACCACCCAATACTTTCTATCTATTGATTGATAGAAATGATTGCATCATTTTGTATTCGATGACAATAAGTAGAGAAATAGTCTTTAATTATAAGAATTTTTATTTGTTTCTACTATTATAATATTATTCATTCAATTTAGATTCATCATCAAATACTCGTACAATAATTAATCGACCACCATCATCATCTTCATCATCGACATCATTACTTATAGTTTTATTAAGCATTTTAATTCCTGTTGCACTTATATGTTTTCTAATGTTATTTTTTTGTTGGTGTTGTCATCAGAGAAATAATAATAGTCATTTATCATCTTGTTCATCAACATCAACACCAATTAAGAAAACTTCTCATCTTGTCAATACAGTTACATCATCACCATTTCGTTCATCAATAACAACACATAATATAAAACAAAATCAACATCATATTATACCTTCATCATCATCATCGACAAATACAAATTTTACAAATACATATCTTCGACAAACATTACTTAAAAATGAAACAAAACGTCCAATTATTCATTTACCTTTACCTGGTCCTTCACTTTCCGAAATTTCATTTACAAATATTCGATTTCTTCAAGAAATTGGCGACGGTATGAAAAATAAAATCAACAAAAGAAAAAATTCATATATATTTTGTTTTTGTAGGAGAATATGGAAAAATCTATAAAGGTGAATTAATTGATAATGCAAATAAATGTCTAATAAAAACTTTACAAATCGATTATGCAACACAACAAAATCGTGAAGAATATGCACGTGAAATTGAAAGTATGAGAATGAATTTTTTCTTTCTTTTCATTCACTAATGTTCTTTCGTTCTAGTTTTCCGTCATATACGTCATATAAATATCTCATGTTTACTTGGTATATGTGTTCAACCTCAAAATGCTCTTTCATTAATGATCTATGAACGTTTAAATGATGGTGATTTACATGAATATTTATTACAACGTTCAACAACATTATATCAACAACGTGATTTAAATGATTATCTTTATATATCAATACAAATTTTATCTGGAATGATTTATTTAACAGAGAAAAATTTTGTTCACAATGATTTATCAGCTAAAAATATTCTTATTTCCGAACACATGGATGTGAAAATATCAAATATAGCACGTTATCGTACGAAATATGATTCCGATTATTACAAAATAGCAAATCGTTCATTACCTGTTCGATGGATGGCAATTGAATCATTATTATCAGGTATATATACAGAAATGTCTGACGTATGGTCATTTGGTGTATTACTTTGGGAAATGTTTTCATATGGTACACAACCATATTATGGACGAACAAATCCAGAAGTTATTGAAATGATACGTGATAGAAAATTATTAACATGTCCAATAAATTGTCCAAAACGTATTTATGCATTGATGTGTTCATGTTGGGAAGAAATTAGCGATCAACGACCAACATTTATTGAACTTATGGGAAGAATAAGACAATTTGAAGAAAAAACAATAACAACATTATCATCAACAACATCATCATCATTGATTGATGTTCCACCTGTTATAAATCAAGGAGATATACAATCACCAAAATATCGAACATTTATTTCTCCACCACCAATATCATCATTTGCTCGTAATGAGACAAATTCAATTAATGGACGAATTCCTGTACAATCGACTCTTGTTGATAGAGATAATATTCGTTTTGAAGTGTAATTTTCTTTTTTTTTTTTTGAATCTCAAAATTTTTGATAAAAGAGATAATATTATTGTTCGTTTTGTTTTTTATTTGTTGTACAAAGTTGACTTATGTATTTGTTGTCTATTTCGTTTTTTTTAACGACTTTAAAGAGAATATCAACCTATTGATTTATATATCTTTGTATGTTAAATGAAATGAAAATTATTTAATTACATCTAGAGAATATGTGAAATTTAAATTAAACAAAAGAAAAAAATGAGTATCTTTGATTTCATACGTATGAAATTTTACGCAGCGGTTTTTTTTTGACACGCGTTGTGTAGAAACTTAAAGAACAGGGATATCTAGATAAAATTTGGTTCAAAAGGAGGTTGAATGACCCTTAGAAATTTTAGGGTATTCTAAGTGGGTGAACTAGGGTGGGTACGAGCGAAACGATCACAGTAGTTTCGCTCACTTCTACACACACATTCCTCCGAACATTTTATCTCTTATCTGAAGTCGGAATGACGAGGTGGTATGAAACGTAACTTCTCCATTCTAAGAACTTCTCCAGCATCTTTATAAACGAAATTTCATCTGGAAATTTCTTTCCTCTGATCCAAGAAACATTCGCGACTTTTAGAACATTCTGTATACTTTCTTATAATCAATCGATTCTATTTATCAAGAATGTCTACATGTGATATTTCTTATTTGAGAATGAATTTCATAGATTTTATTCTTAATATCTGAAAATCTTTTATTAATAATAATAATATATAATTAAAACTATAATACTTTAGCAAAAAAAAAGAGTCGAATATAGTATAAATTAATATAAAAATATTTATTAAGAAAATTGTATTTTCTTTTTTTTATTTAATATATACAAATTTAGAACAAATCTATTCGCTTTTAGTTGTATTCAATGTCTTACGCAGTCTTCCAATTGGTTTCCAATATATTGTATTCGTATCTCCATTACAACAATTAAGACCCCATGAAACACACATATCTTCAGCTAAAATACGATGTTCATCACAAATATCATCATCATTCAATGGTAATTTATACATTGGTTCATACCACGATCGTGATATAGCTGGTACAACTTCTCGTCCACCAAAATATGATACAACAAAGTCATAGAACCTTTTTTGATTATCATAATCTGGGTGATTTTGAGGTGGTACACCTATATATTCTAATATTTTTCCATTAACACTAATCCATAAAGGAAGTGTCGGATCTTTTCCATCATGTTTTGCAAGATCTTCATTAGTATAATAAACATTATCTGGAATATTCTCAATAGTCCGATATGTATTTGGCAATTTTCGAGGTATAACTGGTTGCTCATATTTTAAACGATTAATATACGAAGAACGAACGCCAAAGTATTCACAACCTTTGACAATAATATCTAAATAACGTTCTGATGGTGTACTTTTAGGTCTTTCTTTTTCTCCAATTAAATTCATTTTATAAACATAAACAAGGTGTGAACGTTGTTCATAATCAATTATTTTAACTATAATACGTTTATACATATGTTCAACTTGATCTAAACGATCCATTTGTTCAATAGGTACTAAATGTACAACTCCATCAAATTCTTCTCCTTGACATTCTTCAATATCTGCCATTCCACATTGATCTCGAAATACTAATTTATGATTAGGACATTTAACTGGATATGAAATAATTGGTGTTATATCACGTAAATGTAATGAAATTGGATTAATCATACTTCCAATTGCTAAATACCAGAAATAGGTATGTTTACCATCATCGATCAATGGTTTGTCTGGATCATCATAAGCAAGTATACAATTAAGTGTACGAGTATCAAGACGTTTGATTCTTTTAAGAAGTGTTTCACAGGATGTTTTAAAACTAGTATTACTTGGAACTGGATTTAATCGACATGATAAAATTGGTGATGTATTGCTAATCGATATATTCATTGTTGCATTTGATTATTTGTAGTTTTATTTGATATAGAAAAAAGGAAAATACCGATCATTTTATAGAGGATAAAATCGCGATAATTCTATTGTATAGAAAATAAAAACGAAAGTAATGACCTTGATTTTATGTACAGATTTGATAATTATGTGTCATTTCTCCTTTTTTTCTTTCCTATAAACATTACAGTATCATAAAGACATTGACGTCAAAAATGAGGTAATCAAGTTTAACGTCATATCTTTCGATTTTGTATTTTTATTCTTTCTCTTTAGTCTTATTATTAGAAAACCCACGTATATCTATCTTCCTACTATTTCGATCTTTATTATTAAATAAATGTGTAATATGCACTATCTTTTTCAGTTCATAATCAAAGCCTAGAAGTTAAAATACGAACGAGTTGAAATATGCATCTGTAATCTTTGTTCTTTTCGGTATATCACGCCCATTACAAGGACAGTTTGTACGTGAATATCAAAGTTCAAAACGAAATTTACAACATGGTTTTATTTACTTTTGATAAACATAATTTTTAGAAATATTTTGTTTTTATCCAATTATTTGTTATTTGATTTCATAATGACGTATCTCCTATTGACATATGACTCTCTACGACAAAAACAAAGGAAAAGAAAATATTATTGGTATGTGAATCATATGATTATTACCTAGTTGGATTTGCCTATCTTCTGGACTAAAAAATAAACATTTCATTGTATTGACGCAATAGAATGTCGTCAAAAATCAAACACGTCAAAATGTATTTAGTCAGCACAAAATATTTCGCATTATTTCATAAGAATGGGTGAAATGTATTTTCATCACCAGACGTTTTTTCAAACGTTGTCAGGTTGCATTATCTCTTCTTTATTCATCCAACATTGCTTGCATTTCATCATCGTATATCTCCTACTAAATTGCACAAAACAGTGACTGATATTCATTTGAAAGAATGTTAATACTAGATTTAAATATATTGAATGTAGGTCATTCACTTAACGAAGTGAAAACTATTGCTAAATCAAATGGTGTTTGTCAACGTCGAATAAATAACCTTGTGAATTCTACAAAATCTTAAGGGTGTGGGTGTGATTGTTATAATATCAATATTCACACCCACGGTAAATAGTAATAAATGAGTTTTGAAAAAACTGGTGATCAAAAAAATTCCCATCCCATAAGAATACACAATAAAATACGTATTTATTTATTGTAATGTTACAATCGTATAAAGAAGAATTCATAAATCACGAGCTAATTAAATACAATTGATTTTCCATTGTTCGATAATGAACGGAATCGAGAGACATTCCATCTGTTAATAAGAATCAGTATAAATTTTGTTCTATTTGTCTTCTATTCAATTATCTATTATAAATCAAATGCAGCAGATTGAATATTTTACAACAATGGTATAATTGCTTAGTCTTCATTAATAAATTGATCAAAGTGTATATGATGCGACACAAGGTCTTTTTGATACCTTCTGTATGCAATATATATATATCATAATTGTACTCATCTCATTTCAAAATGTTTGATCTTTTTATTAATGACATGATTTTAAATATATAGAATTTTTTCTCGTTTTAATATTGACAAAACTGCTTATTCAATATCAACATCTGCAACATTAGTGAAAGAGGGATTAACAAGGACAGGCGCAAGTGTTTCTTTTTTTTTTCGATGAATTAAAAAAAATACTCGAAAAATACTGACATGTCGATGATTATATTAAATTTTTGTGCCTTCGTATACTTTATTCACATCTGTTCAATTCAAGACTATTCTCAATTGTTGTTAGTCAAGTGTATAGTGATGAAGAGTGAAAAGGAAATTTAATTTTGATTTTGTTTTGCATTCATTAAGATGCTGATGACATTGCTCAAGTCGATGATTGAAGTACAAACATAGGAACAGACTGTGACTATGTGAAAAAATTGATGGCATAATTTTAATTTAAAAGTCAATTGTTTATCTTATAACAGGTTGTGTTTCTCCGCGTGATATCCTTTTCGTTTTGGATAACGCGAAAGTTCAACTGGGATTGTTAGTATTTTCAATGTGTTGTTATTATTCAACATTGTCACTTCTGAGTATACCTGTCATAACATGATCACATCAGAGATATACGACGGCAAATTTAATTTCGCTTATCTGATCAGTCAACAAATCGATTTCTTTGCGTATATATTACGAGGTGATTATCCAAATTGATTCTTTTCTTTAAGACAATATTCTTTTGTAAACATATACAATTTCCTTCTTCTTCGAGATCAATAATCGGTAAGTTGGAATTCTGCAACAGTCGTAGTTCCGGTATATGGCTTTTTATCTCTGTTTGATGAATGAATGAATATATTTCTTTTCTCCTGATATTGATGAACACCAATGAATAAGTTGAACGAATGGAAGAACAGAATAATATAGATCAAAAAAATACCTTTAATGAGTAGAATTCTTCACTCATCACATGTAGCAATATATATATATATACTCATAGCATTAGTATACAATATCTGTAGAAGATAGACTTCTTTAACAAACAGGTCGGTTCTCATTGTTCGAATTTCTTTTTTTTCTCTCTTTTATCAATATGTACTTGCATTGTGTCTATTGACTTAACTATGAAGTGGACTCTTTTCGTTTATAGTTCAAGAGTTGATCAATGTAGACTTTTGAATTCAATTGAAACTGTATGAAAAAGAGAAGAAAAAAAATAACATCTAGTAAGGTTCTTTTGTAGCTATCTTGGGAATAAGTTTTAATTTGAAAAAAAAGAAGAAGAACGAAAATAATGTTTTATGATCTTTCCCGTCAGATTTTGATTGAATAGGTTTCATTCAATTGTAAAAAACTATTTCATTTATCCTGATTGCCATCGATTATTAAATTCAATTTTCGTTTTTCTCGCCACTCTCTTGCCCAACGGGCGTAAAGTGACCTTCTTCTCCCTCTCTCTCTGTTTCTCTCTCTCTCTCTTCTCATTCCATTCATATATATATATATTTTGTTTGTTCAAAAAAAAGAAGAAACTTGAAGGTTGATATATGAACGAAAGATTGACTACTGTCTATATATATTGGACAGATCAATGATTGAATATATATCACATGTAAAAGTAAGAGAATGAAAGTAATTGTCCTAGTATTGATAGCAATTTGTATAGAAAATGAAATGTGTTGATAAGTATAAATTCATTCCTTATTTTTTTCTTTTTCTAGATAAACTATGTTATTTATATACATTTTTCTAATAATATTCCATCGTATTTCCAGTCATACAATTTTAAAATATACCATTGAAGAAAAATCTCCAATAAATACAATCATTGCAGATTTTTCAAAAGAATTCGATATAGAATCGAATGGATTTTATAAAATCTATGAAGTATTACCATTAAATCATAATTTATTTTCAATTAATAATCAAACTGGACAACTGAAAACTCAATCAATAATAGATCGTGATCAAATGTGTTTAAAACAACAATGTTCATGTCAATCATGTGAAATTATTCTTCAACTTGAAATAAAAGTTCGCGAAAAAATTCTTTCAAAAATTCTTGAAATTAAAATTAAAGATCTCAATGATCATTCACCAAGTTTTGATCAACAATCATTGATACATACAATATATATCAAAGAAAATGTACCTCTAGGCTATCGAATAGTTTTACCTAGTGCAAACGATCCGGATGAAGGTATGTTATTGACCTTAGAAACAATAATGCCTTTAGGGATATATATTTGTTTATTTTTCATATTTAGGTTTGAATAGTATACAATCATATAAACTTAATGGAATTAATTCCGATGATTTTGATATTGATTTTTCATCATATGATATTCCATATTTAATTGTACGTTCATCACTTGATTATGAACGACAATCAACATATTCTCTAACATTAATTGCATCTGATCATGGTCAACCATCACATTCAAATTCAATTGAAATTAATATTAAAATTTTAAATATTAATACATCAATACCAATATTTGTTCAATCGGTTTATAATATTGATATACGGGAAGATACACTTATTGGAACAACAATATTAAATATTGAAGCAAGCAATGATAATAATAATGAAAAAATTTTCTATGAAATTTTAACGGAATCACCATTTATTATTGATCGATTAACTGGACAGATACAATTGAGTCAAACATTGGATTATGAACGAGAAAAATCCTATCGATTAACGATTAAAGCATATAATAATCAATATCCAACTTATGCAAGTATATTTATTCGTGTTATGGATGTAAATGATAATCCAGTTTTAATAACAATTCGAACGGAAGGTAAAATAAGAAGAGAAAAATAAATAAAAATAATTCAATTTTATTATTATTTAGGAAATACGACGTTAAAACGAAAAGAAAATGATAAAAATATATTTTTTATTCAAGAAAATACATCGATTGGTACAACAATTGCATATATTATTCTCAATGATCTAGATTCATTTGGTAAATATTTTAAAATTGATTTCGAAATATTTATTAAGGTCAATACTAAGGAAACAGCATTGAAGGAAAGTGTATAGTACTTTAATATTAAGTAACTCCGATCGAGTGCTTTTATAAAACACTTCAAAAAGAATAACAATATTGTGTAATCCATCTCATAGATTTGTGCTAGAGGCAGTGAAATCTTCAGATTGAATAAAATTTCAAGTATCACTTTGTTTGATTTATTATTCAACTCTAGAGAATTTTGAGCAAAAAAAAAATTTACTATTTTAAATAAATCTCAACAATCGACAAAAAATAACAAGATTGACACTTTTAGTAAAAGTTATAACTTTACTGACTAAATAAATATATTAATGTGTAATATAACATCGATATTTCGCATAGAAAAACCATTGGCCCTATTGAAATAAACATATTTTCTCCTTTTAATAACAATAGTAGAACTATTCTCTAATGCAATTAACATATATATACGATTATACAGAAAGAAAAATTCAATGAGTCAAATCTAAAAATAACTTGATTTAAATAAGATCATTATCAAGAATGTCTGAGAGGTATACGCAATATCCTACGCAAACAATGAACAGAAAAATCTTTGCTTTGTAAAATATTGAATTATTCCGTTCATTTTCTGGCTTACGCGAATTTCGCAAATGTCCAGTTATCGAAATTCGGAAACTCAGTATTTCTAGTGTTTTACGTAGCAAGTGGTTGGCACCCACCCAAAATTTTAATTTCGCCCACCCGACAGTTCGATTCGCCCACCCGTGAAGAAAACCTGGATAAAATACTGCCCATTTCTTTACCCACCCTTTCAATAATATATGACTCTAACGATATTTAATTTAGCAAATGGGAATCCTTACCTTCAACTACGAACCAATGATCCACCATTACCATTAATCTATAAATTAATCTATCAAAATAAATTTCAAAATACGAAACTTTATTCATTAATTGTTCATCAAAATCTTGATCGTGAATTAAGATCAATTTATAATAATATCCAAATTCTAGCACATGATTCCGGTACACCAACATTACATACACAATTATTTCTTATATTAAATATAACTGATGTAAATGATTGTGTACCCAAATTATTAACAAAATCTACAATATATAATATTAATGAAAATAATCCAATTGATTACATAGTTGATAAATTAATTGCGTATGATTGTGATCTAAATGAAAATGCTGAAATTGAATATAATTTATTAAATAAAACTGATTTATTAATAATTAATTCACAAACAGGTGAAATACGTTTAAATCAAACAATTGATTTTGAATTATTTAATAAATATCATGAAAAAAATCAAACTCAAATCGATTTAGAATTTCTTATTGAACTTAAAGATCATGGACAACCATCATTATCAAATCAAACAAAAATTATTCTTCGTATACATGATCTCAATGATAATTCACCTGTATTCGATAAAAATCAATCCTACAATTGGACATATTCAAAAACAATTCTTCAACCAGGTTCAATTCTCGGCAGAATCTACGCAACTGATAACGATTCAGGTTTACAAGGTCTTGTTCATTATTCAATACAGTCATTAAATTCATGTTTAACTCTTAATATAACATCACTTGGTTATATTTATATTCCATATGGTTTAACAACAATATCAACATGTTTAGAATCATTATATACATTTGAAGTAACAGCATATGATTACGATCCAATTAATCCACGTTCAACAAAACAAATCTTAACAATAAATCTTCATTCAAATTTCGAAACAAATCATATCCTACCCAAACTTTTACCATTATCTATACAACGAACAACTATTGATGTAAATACACATAATAATAATGATAATATTATTTTTCTTATTGATATTACAACTTGGAATAATCATACATATGAACCGAAAATTTATTTAAATAATACAACATTATTATCTTGTTGGAATTTAAGTACAACAGGTGAACTTCGTCTTATATCACATCCATATTCATTATCATATATGTTATCATTAAATCTAATTGATGAATATACACAAATGAATTCATTAATTAATCTTCATATTGATATATGTAATAGTTCAATATTAAATTCTTGTCATTTATATTCATTATCAGATAATCGAACAATATTAGTTTATGCTATAAGTTTAGCTTTATGTATAACATGTGCTTGTATAATTATATTTTCAATAATTATTTGTTTATGTTGTCGAAAACCAATACAACATAAAAATGATAAATTAACATCGATACATCATCATAGTTTTTTACAATGTAATGATGATTATAATACAAATGAAAAGGTAATATAATACAAAAAAATTTTAATTAAATAAAAAAATTTTTGCTTTCTTAGATTGATCATACAAGTGAACAATATAAAAGTTCATCGAATTCAACGATTCGTGATGATGATCGTATGTTTCGATTGTATATGTATATAAAATATATATTTTATTTAAATTATTTTAGATGATTCGGCATGTATTGTTAATGGACATTCATTATCATCAACTTCGTCATCAAATGATACATGGTATAATCGAAAAGAATCAACAACAATTCCAATGTATTCATCATCAACATATCAATATGATATTAAATTAGCTGAATTATTACGTAAAAATCAACATCCACCATGTATATTTTTAAATGAACTTCCACCAATTCCACAATCATTAAGTACAGATTATGGATTTAGTAGCTTAGATTTATCAAAATCATCATCAACATCAACAATTCCAAATCAACATGTTGAAACATATATTGATCAATCACCGACAATGAAAAGTTTTATTTCATCTCGTGAATGTGTTGTTTAGTACAGTTAATTGTGTTTTTGTTCTTTATATGTGTCTGTCTTGCCATACATATATATCTATATATATATATAAAGAAATCTTTTACGAACAAATTTCTATTGTTT